TAGAACGAGTGTTCAGGTCACGCGCCGTCATGCTTGACCGTGAAGATGCCGTAGCCAGAAATCTGATCAATACGCCAAGTTGCATGCGTGGCTGCGGCGTAGCGCTGGTGTGGAGCCATGCGCCGGTCGCGCCTGCCCGATTGCCTCTGTCCAATCAAGCCACATTCGCTAAGAAGGCTCAAACACGGCCCTGTCGTCCCAACTTCATCTCCTCGAATCCGTTGTCAAACATTCTTCCGTACTGCATCAACGCCAACGACGACTGCTCACGTCCAAGCCCTGGAGATCTTTCTGCATGGCCATGCTGTACATATTGACACGAGTTCTCGCATGCGAAATTTCTTCCCGTACCACACGTCTTTGCAGCTCAATACCGCCAATCCGTAAAGTTCATCACTCCGCCAATGTAGCCAACCGTTCTCTGATGATGCCATGTCCTCTGTCTTTTGTCTCCTTTTCTGGAAGGTTGCTGACATGTTAGCTTGAGTGGAATAACTGAGTCTCTCGATGTGGAACCTGCTCCATGAGATGCATTCCCTTGATGGGTGTCTGTCTAATCACTGCTGAACCGCTAATGTTCATTACTCTTCATAGTCACATGGTACGAAGACTCTGCTCCGAAGTGCGACACGCCTCTGGATGAGATGACGCTGCATAAGTTTTGCTAAGGTTGGCGTTGTCAACAACCTTCATCGGCAGTCGCTTCCTCATGCTAGACACACTTGTCGTATTCCGAGCGCGCTTTCCTTATATCCCCTGCTGACCAAGACATATAACAGCCATTCATCTTTGAGCCTTCGAATCCTCTCCGAATCACCATCTCTTCGTCCGAACCCCTTTCGTCTATTGTTCACCGTCACCGTCTATGGTTATCGTCCGCTTGCCTCTCCTTGATAGCGCTGGTCGCTACACGTCATTCATTTCTGCTTGGTGTTCACCGAAATCTGGAGAGTGGTGAGGTGAACGCGAGCTTCCAGCACGTTCCGCGTCCACCATGAGCCCGGGCGTCGTTTTTGCAACTCGACCGTGCAGGCCGTGCTCAGTGACGAGAGACCTCACCTTACCCCACCGACCGCAAATTACCACTTGTTACCCACTCCGCTTTGCCCACTCGTTCACTAAACTCGCGCCATACTCGTTCCGGAACCTCTCAATTGCCCGCACTTTGCATTGCCCGACGTGACGTAACTTTATTAACCACCCGCAGTATATCAGATCCCTCCGCTTTCGAACCGACCGCATTTGTTACTACTCGCCCGAATCGTCCCTCCTGTTCTCTACTTTGTTATCAGTTTGGAGAGCGCACAGCGAAGAGACCGCAATCGTTTTCCAATATTACCGCTCTCGCGACAGCGTACCGCATCCCCGTCCCCGCTCCGCTCAATACACCGCTGGTCGAGCAGGTGAACACGTACCTGAGCCCGGTGACCGATATCGCAGGCTACCACTGAGAGTACAATAACTTCGATCACGCAGAACGTACGCTCTCATTCTCACCTTCTATCATCGCTAGGCAGGACCTATGGCAGCTAAGACATATATTAGGCAACTTTCAGCGCTACAATAACACAAATCTCTGTGGGCAAACCTCTTCTACCCAAGAACTCACCAAATAACCAACTCAACTTTTCAATTACACTCATCGTAAGCTCGTCCATGTGAGCAATCAGGTCTGCCTCATTCGCTCACTCTGAGGTTCAGAACAAGCGCTCGGGTTCAACAACTTGGCGCCTCACTATCTCCCTAGGTATCTTGTAAACCCCGCACTTGCAAGGCCCAGACTCTCAGGTACGTGACAAACACATTGCATATCGATGCCGCGTTCTCCGAAACTTCGGGGCGGTGTCGACTCAAACTTCGTGTACTGGTCTCCCGCAGATGACCGAAGATTCTGCGCTATCTATCTCATCCCGCGAACCAAGTGTTCGGGCAGCAAACTTGTATCGACCACCATCGCGAAGGCGGTGACGCTGTCTCTTGACCCGAACCAGCGCACGTGTAGTGAATCTTTGCTAATTGAACTTCTTGTATAGTCGGAGTACCTAGATTGATCTAGTCTCTCGTAACCGCTTGGGCTCTTACCATTACCACTCTTGGCTCTATCAGACCTACACATTACAGTCTCAACACATCGCTGCTCTCCACCGCATCCACACACCACCTGCACGCTACAGCCACACGCAAAGTTGAATATCGTCGGCCTTTACCTCTGGGGCTTGAAACATTGCACAGCCTCAGCGCCTATCTTTCTTCCCACACCACCCCATCAGGCATCGTTCAATGTCACCTTCCATGGTCGATCCTATCAAAGTCGTAACTGGGGACTCAGTCGCGACACCCAAGAAGGCTTTTGCACCAGAACTCCAGGACACCAAAGTCATATCTCCAACATCCGACTCTAGCGGTGATACCCTTCATGACGAGAGCTCTGACGTCCGCTCCAGCGGTGATGGTCTTGAGACTCCTAATAGCCCTATCAGCCCAGAGAACCTCAACTTCAACGGTTTGGCCATCAGCGGCGGTGGTGTTGATCTCCGCAAGGACACCGTAGATCGCTACACTAACCCTTATCAGCGCGGACAGAAGCAACACAACGAGCCGAGTGTCTATGGTCCTCCTGGTCGTGGGTTCGGTGGCAACAATCGATTCGGAGCTGGCTACAACGGTCGAGGAGGTGGTGGCGCGGGTAGTTATCGCAACTCGCGTACATGGATGTCCCCCGACGCACAGGTCCAGCAAGAGTTCCTCATGATCCGTAATGCAATGCGCCGACTCTTCAAGAACTCTGACGTCTCAAAGTGGAAGTTGAGCGACTACGTTGCTCACAAAGAGGCCATGCTAGCGTCGCAGGCGAACAAGCTCGCAAACCAGGTCAAGAGCAAGGAAGACGCCCGTTTCATATCCTCCCCTATCTCCTCTGACGTCCAGAAGACACTCACTAGGTGCGGTCTAGAAGGCAACTTTGAAGAGATCGGAAACTACGGCCGCGCTCTAGGTGAGCAAACCATCTGGTGCAACGACTGGGAGAACGGCAAGGACGAGATCGCTCCGTGGCCTTCGATGGCTGAGATGAAGTGGGAGGGTGATGACCGAGCCAAGACAGGTGTTGGTCGCTTCCTTCCTCTTCCCCGCGAGGAGGGTCCTCCGGGTCTCATGTGGAACCAGCTCCCCGCCATCGAGCAGTACCCCATGGACCAAGTTTGCAAGATCCCCACCATGGAAGACGTCTACCTCCCCGTCGACTACCACATCGAGCCAGACCACGAGTACCTCTGGAACAAGGGCCTGGAGAAGGAAATGGACGACTTCTTGGAGTCGTAACAACCTCCTTCCACGCACAAAGCCCCACGCTATGACACTCACGCTTCTACATCATGGTCTGCAGGTCAGCTTTCACCTTTGGAATACTTCCGGTTTCGCATCGATTTGGCGCACGCCCAGCTTCCAACCAATGTGACTATTAGCTACTACAACTGTCACCGAGCTATCTGTGGCCAAGTCGATCTCCTTCCCGCTGAGATGCCGGTTGTTTCTCTTATGTTATGGGCCTTGGCTTCCTTTGGAGTTATTCGCGTCCTTGGAATTCGGAGTTACGACACATAGACGAATCGACACGAATCGACTCATGCACACAGCCGACGATTACGACGACACAGCACAAAGCCTCCACTTCACCCTTCGATACCCTGGCTGTCATGACTTGCGTTGTTGGCTTCTAGTCTAACTGGAAGGCAACTTTGGAACACGCGTCATGAACTCATGTGCACTGCTTGCGTTGAACTTTTTGCATATCAAATTACGACAAAATGGAGTCATTGGGAGGATGCGGCGGAATTGGTATTGGGCATCGGAGCCGGATGCGTTCGGTTTCATTGTGTTGGTGCGTTCTTGCGATAACATATCCTAGTTGCTCTCCTCCAAAAAAAAGTGCTTTACACTTCTGCTTCCTGCCGCTTCATCAAGTGAAGCCGTGATTGACCAACTTGTACCCGACTTCGGCGTCGTTGTGAGATGCCGCGATGAGTTTAATCGCCGCTACCCAATCCTGCCAGCGCTTCCGCCTAGACCTCTTCTTCAGTCCAAATGCTCTTCGCCCCGCTCGCCGTTCGTAACGCTGGCAGACTGCGTGGACTGAAGTGATAAGTACCTGATTATTCCGGTGATGATGATTGCTTCGCGTGCCATTGGCCCTCGTATCCTCGTGGCAGTTTTGAGTGACTTCACATGTCACCGCCTGACCGGAGAAGACTAAAACTCCCCGGACTTCCACGCACTTCGAATCCCAGAATGACTCTTCTCATCCCCGGTGAGCAAGTCCAAAGGCTAGACCCTGAAGCCACGAGCCACGTAGATCGGCTCTATCCAATGGATGTCGACAGTGAGGCTACGTGCCCGATGGTACGGTGATGATGACAACCGCCGTTGACAGCGCGGCGGCTTTGGGGTCGGACATGCTGTCGATGTATGATTTCGATTTCGGGATAAAGCTTATGGTCCAAATCGGCGTCGTAGTTATAACAGTCCGCTTGTGATCCGCGAAAAAGAGGAACCAGAAATCGTATAATCGAAGAACCGGACAATCTCGCCTACTTGATATACGAGCCACCAAGCTTCTTACTCAAGTGACCTCTCCTGCTCTATCCTGTGATACCCCAATCAAGACCGCATCATAGCGCCACAAGCAGTAGATACGCCCGATCGGGTGCCTTACCGCGAGGCGTCCATCATCCACTAACCCAAAGCGGCAGGGTTCACGCTTCCTTGACAACACATCACCGCATTTCACCAGCGTGCAGGAAGTCGTTATCACGGGTCATCATTGAGCCGTGTACAGTACCACCTTAGATCTCGCTTACAAGCTCACAGGTCACGGCTTATACCACGATCGTGACAACCTTGGAAAGGGTCGGTTCGCGAAAATGTATCTTTAGGTCTACACTTTACCAACTCCCCCGTGCCCTTCCCTGCCCTACCTCAGACCCCATCTATACTATCCTATCCTACTCATCCAAATCCTTAGTCATATGCAAAATCCTTATCCCCTCCCCATTCGGACACGTTACCACATCCACCCTCCCACTCCTCACATACCCACACCTCTCATACAACTGCACTCCACTAAGCGTCGCCCCCATTTCCAGCCTCTTGAACCCGTCCGTCTCATCCGGCTTGCCTTCCCGTGCCCTCGCCTCACAATACCGCATCATCATCGTGCCCAGGCCCTTCCGCGCATACTGCGGACTCGTGAAGATTGCTCGTATGCTCGCGCGGTCAACAGCTGGATCGCGTTTTTCTGGCATGCGCAGCGGAGAGGGCGCGGAGTCTCCGCCGTACAGTGTTTTGCGGAAGGACCAGCCGCCGCAGGCGCAGATTGTGAGGGGTGCGTTGAGGGGGTGGAGGATGTAGTATGTTCTGTTTGCGAAATCATCAACTTTACTACCCTTTAATTCCCGCCCTCCTTCCCTTCCACTACCCAGGTTTCTGGATCTGGTCTTTGGCAATGCAATGTGGAGAAGAGGGGTACATATCCCCCCTCCCTCTTCCACAAATGGATAATGCTTGATGACAGTTGATGACGGACGCCTTATTCTCATCCGTTGATTATGATTGGAATTATACGTACTGGTCTTTGATGAGAACGGAATCTGGACCGAAGAGGTAGCCTATTGAGCCGTCCAGTTCGGCGTCTGTGTAGTATCCTTTTCCCAAGCTGCGGAGTGAGGATGCGATCATGGATTGCAGGGAGGGTATGTCGGCGGGGGTTGCGGGGCGGAAGGTGTATTGGTGGGTTGCTTCTTGGGCTCTTGCTGAGGCGACGGGGTCGTGCATTTTGGAGTTTGGAATTATTCTCTTGTTCCTTTCGAGTCCGGATTGAAAGTGGTATGTGCCTTTTGCTGCGTAGATGTATCTTTCTTGGGAGTTGGTACGTTTGGCCCAATCATACGTTATCGTTATCGCGACCTCGGGAGGCTTGGGAGTGGGATGCTTTCCGACGGAAACCATCCCTGTTCCGCAAGGTTGGTTGCTTCGTATCGGTCATTCCGAGGTCGATAGAGTCCATGTTTCTGTCCACGGTTGACACGTACGCATCGTAGAGATGTTTGTTCCTCGCCATCAAGGCGCGTCGCACAAGGTTTGCCGGACGGCGCGCTTTGACCACCGCGCGCCGGTTGATGTCGTTATTCTAACTTTCCGCCTCTGGCACCCACGTGGCACCATCGTCTTCCTCCAACAACCTTCTTACAACAACTCTCGAATGACGCGAACCCCCGGCACCGACCGCAATAGAACTGATAACGAAGATTGTGCAATGTCAAAGTCGACCCGGCTCCAAGCCCAGAGTGAACAACGGCGCCCCGCACTTAGCGAAATGAACAGTCTGGAAAAGCGAACGCGAGCATCGACATGTTCATCACAATCAATGCTGTTTTCCCTCCGAGTCATATTGCCAGAAGCTCAGGGTTGGAGCGACTCAGCGACTCATCGACTCAACGGTTAATACCAGGCGTAAGGTTAAAACGATCGCGCCTTCCTTGCGAGTCATCCAGCGCGGGCAGGTGATGCGGATGAATGGGGGTTGCAGAAAGATCATGGAAGCATCGATCGCAAGATCCAAGATCCTCAACAACGGCAGCACCCTGCAGTGGCTGATGCTGTACCTGCTTCTTTTGCTTCCAAGAGCTGTTCGTTTTTGGCGTTCGCAGGATGAAGCAGGGTATAGAGTCGTGCACCAAGGGTGTTGCGATGGCTAGCACCCTTTGGACACATTGCATCAACATCGCCTGCAGCATCCTGACAGCAGATTGCCGTGGGTGGAGGCGAAGTTCGTTTTACATGCCCAGTCTGCCAGCATCGCATACACCAGAAACATCCATCTATTGGAGTACCTTTGCGAAAAGATTTTCAACGTCACCAGACGTCGCAGTCAAAGGCAAGAAGGCATGGCTTCCATGTGCGGCGCATTCCGCTCACAACGGTCAAGTTGCGATGTTGGCGTTGCCAGCGTTTGGCCATCTTTGGTGCGCTTGCTTTTTGTATCACGTTGGGTGTTGAAACAGCTAAGAGCGTCAGGCGAATTTAAAATAGCACACGGTCCATAACGGGACGCTCCCGTGACGTCGATCAGCCCTATACCAGCAACGGCAGCAAATATGCGAAAGCTTATTTGCGTTTGGAAGCGTTCTTGACAACGAACAGGAACTTTGCTATATGCAAAACCGCATTATCATGCAGAAATACCTCCATCCGCAGACTGCCCAATCGCATCCTATGTCGAGAGTTTTCCTCGCATTGCTTGCGATGAAGTCATTCCGCCTTTTCGAGACAGCCGTTTTCTTGTCAGCTCAACCTCCTACACTGACAGCTCGGAGACGGACGTCACTATGGCCAATGATTCACAGCAGAGTTCACAGCGTACCGAGGCACGGCAGGCACGTTGCGGACACACTAGGAACATCCTCGCGTGGGGCACTGCCCTGTAGCAAGATCAGCCGGGGTGACTAAAAAGTAAAGTCCAAGCGCATGAATGATGATAGTGCTTTTTCGGCAGTCGGATCACCTGAAGGTCCTGAGTGGTTGACCGTACAGGTTGTTCGAGTCGAGGAGGCTCGAAGTGGGACTGGTATTCCTCCGTACCCCATCTCCACCATGACTCTCATGAGAACTCAACCTACTTGGCAGTACTTGGTAGCAGTCGCATGACTGGGGCTTGTTGTCCTTGCAATACACCGATGCAGAGTTGGCCAATCCAGTGTCGAGTCGACGAACACCTTCCTCGGCTGCGATCTTAGTTACCGGTTGTTTCCACTTCATCGATGAGCCCACTGATACCTTGGCGGTGCCTGGCACTATGCCCTGTCTTCTCGACTTGATCGTCGTCATGGGTAGATTGAGCTTGGCCATATGCCTGGCCGAACATCTTGGGATTATAAGAAGGTAGGACGCCGGCTTCAGTTGGAGATCATCATCAGTCAACACTGTCATCAACACTACAGTTCACAGGCCCGGTGCTTACATTCGCTCCTACTTTTTTCGCTTCTTCTCTATCTTCTTGTCAATAGCAGATTCAACTTTCATCCCACTTCCCCCTATCCATCCACCAGTCAACACCATGTACGCCAAATCCGTCCTCATCGCCGCCCTTGCCGGCTTCGCTTCCGCCAGCCCCATCGAAGTCGAGAGCCGCCAGCTCTTTGGTGGTGGAATCGGCGGCACAGGATCCAGCTCGAGCGAGTTCAGCCGCGGCGGCTGCAAAGACGTCCTCTTCGCCTTTGCCCGTGGCTCCACGGAGATCGGCAACATGGGAACAGTCGTCGGACCGCCCACCTCGAACGGCCTCAAGAAAGAATTCGGAGCCGACGCCGTCGCGACCGAGGGAATCCCCTACGCCGCCTCCATCGGCACCAACGTCCTCCCCGGCGGCACCGACACACGCTCCAAGAACATGATGGCCGACACCCTCAACAGCATGGCGCAGAAATGCCCCGACTCCGTCATCGTCGCTTCAGGCTACTCCCAAGGCGCAGCCGTCTGCCACCGCGCCATCGAAGGCCTCGACCCCGCCGTCATGCAGCAAATCGCCGGTGTCGTCACTTACGGCGACACCCAGAAGCTGCAGGACAGGGACCAGATCCCTAACTTCCCCAAGGAGAAGGTCAAGATCATTTGCCAGCCTGGCGATGCTGTTTGCCTCGGTACGCTGAGCGTGCTGCCTGCGCACTTGACATATGGTGTCCGCGCGGATGAGGGCGTGGCTTTCCTTGTGCAGCAGATTAAGGGTGTGCAGGCGAAGATCAAGGCGAGGAACGCGAAGAGGGACGCTGTTGAGGTAGACGCTGAGACGCAGAGGCAGGCTGAAAAGATGGACGCTGAGATGCAGGAGGCGATTAAGCAGGCTGCCCAGGAGATCGAGGCTTAAGAGTTGATGAGGAGATTGACTTGATGGGATTTGGGGCTGGATACATGTGTGGCTGGATCACTTGGGGGATTTTTTATGACCTTCTTTACTTTCTTTTATCTTTTCTTCTTGGATTGTAGTGTTATCTTACGAATTTGATTGGATTGGGCCCAGATATATTGGACATCTTGCGTTTGTGCTGAGTGACGTCTTTGTGCAATTGGCGATAAGAGAGCGCATCATACCTAGGTAGCGATGGGTCATACCAGACCTAAACACATTCTTGGTGACACACCCACATTTGCGTGTATACCCACCTGATTAAATACCATAATGAATATTAGCAATCCGAAGAAACCGGAAGATGGGAAGAAAATGAGTGTGAGTTGACTCTTACGGCTGATCGTCAACTAGACTGTGTCCCAGATAGGTAAGTTACGATAAGGTGTTGATTGTGGCACCGTCGCTTGCCCCGACTGCCCCGAATGCTCCCCGCTGACTGCCCCGCTTTGATAAATCGCCGCAACGACTCAGGCTTCAGCCACCATTCTGACGAGGAGGCGACACAAGCGACAACTCTTGATGCGTGGAAGTTTCATTGCGTCTTTTTCCCTTTCAGAATTCTCTTTACCATGAGTTTGTCAAACTTCCAGCATGAGAAGCTCACGGTACAAAGATGACATCAATACCGAGCGCATATCATACTACGAGCCTAAAGGCACACGAACATACATGTTCAACCCTATCATCCCAAAGACGAGAGAATATATGTGTTAAGGCAACGTCCAGTGTACTATCAAACCAAATTGCTGCCGACAACTGACGCCCCGCCGCCCAGTCGTAGAATTCCATGGTCACGCCGTACGACGCGCATACTAGCCTTGTACACGTGTACAAGATGCAGACAAAGGTACGGGATTAAGGAGTGCCCTGATGCTAGTCGTAACCATAGATTGAGCATATCCTCCGGCCATTCACATCAAGCCCCGTTACACCATCACGCAGTGAGCCAGAAGCGGCCTCCAACGGCGCCGGCAGAAGACGCAAATCGCCAATCACCATGTTACGCAGCATACCAAGAAGAGCCGAAGCGAGACTAGGTAGTCTGCCACCATGGTGGAGTTACGCAGTAGCTCGCAGACGATCATTCGCTGGGAGAGTAGCTGCGAGGACCATTCGAGCACATACACTCTCCTACCTCTACCATATCAAGACGAACTACTACACTACTTACCAACGCGAAATACTTTAAACATCGTCTCTCTGACAATACCAAACACGACACGCCCACCATGCCCTCCCCACCACCCACGCCCGAAGAAGCCCAGCGCCGCCAAACCGAAGCGCGCGCAGCCGTCACCGCATCCCTTGCCAGCGTCGGCGCATCCGTCGACAACGAGATGCGCACGCGCACCGCCGACCTGCACGCCAACTCTGCGGCAATCGCAAAGCAGGAAAAGGAGCTAGCGAAGCAGACGGCGGCGCTGGCGAAACAGACTGCCGAGTGGGATAAACTGCTTCAGGGCGGCACGAAGAAGTTGAATGAGGTGGGGGATATTCAGAACTGGGCGGAGATGATTGAGAGGGATTTGCTGGTGTTGGAGGAGACGGTTAGGTTGGTGGATGGGAAGGGGAGGGAGAGGGAGGAGTCGGCGAGTGGGACGGGGGGTTGGTAGATGATACCAAGACATGGTATGGAACTTGTGGCGACGGTCGTGTTATGATTGATGAAGCGCTGTTGAGTAATATATAACATTGTTATCACGTCTCCGGATTGCATACCCAGGTAGGCGCTGCCTTGCGGTGGTGAGATAGTGACATGTCTGCTATCGGATATTATATGGGACGACGGATGTCAGTGTATTCGATCATCGATAGACCCACGAATGTCCCAACAGGCCCCGCGCAACCGCGAGCGTGATTCTGTCTCGTCACCGTCTGCAGAGAGAGTGACGACAGCGCGTCGCTTTCGTGACGCTCTAAGCTTGGATCAGCGGGCACGGACCACGTCTCCATGATTGCGGAAACTGCTACTTGCGGTGCTCGTAGCTGGAGCTCCAACAACACCTTCACCTCACCCACCACCCGCCTGCCGACACAGAGGCTCCCGCTATTTCACGGCTGGCACCTGCACCCTGCCACAACGCCCCCAGCTAGCTGCCCAAGATCCACGCCTGCACCGTGGAATCTACCAGCAACCCACCACCCACGCCTCTCCGCCGCCAACCCGCCCGCTTATAGCCATCGCAACATTTCGCGGCGACCGCTTTTGTGTGCAGACCCACCGACGACATACATCATCACGACCCCGCTTTTCGCTCCACTAAAGCCGCAGCCACTTTGGGTTTCTGCGCTTCCGGTAAAGGCAATCGCAGCCTGCCTCTAGACATCCTCTCACGCCACGGACACGGCGCCGTGCTATCCGACCGCCTACACGCAACCACTGCTCGCTAGACATCGGCTTCATAGAGCTTGCATGTGAGCAAGCTTCGTCTTCCGAGCGCCCGGCGCAAACATGAAGATCAAGAAACAGGCTACATCGCGACATGAGTCGACTCTGGTAAGCTGCAGCTCCCCGCGCTCCCCGCCCTCGCCACTGCTAACACAGCGCGTAGTCGCCGATGATAGCAGACTTTGTGAAGGCGACCGAGTCAATACCGCTGTTCCAGCTGCCCGCACATCTCGCCTCGTTCCCCAGGCACTGGCCCTTTCCCCGCGGTGACGCATACCACTGGATCCCCGCCCTGAACCGCTTCGACCACATCCTCGAGCTCTTCAACAAGGAATATGGCCTGGTAGACGGTCCCCAGACACAGGCCTTCCAGCGCCGGCTGCTGCTCAAGGGCGATGCCGAGGAAGGAAGCACCAGCTCCGAGCAAACCACGACCGATGCCGTCCTGGATACCCTGCACGTATCCCGGGATGGCGATCGCGAGCTGGTCGAGCAGATCCTCAACTTCACGCGGATGCTCTTGGAGAACTGCGGGAACCGTAGTCTGTATTCCAGCAGTGAGCGCCTGGACAAGCTGCTAAACACGACCTCCACATCCCTCCTCAAGGCCACGCTTCGTCTAGGCCATCGCCTCGCTCAGCGCTATGCTGCTGCACGCATGCGCTTGGCCCCGGCCACCCTGCACCCGTCCCTTCTCTCCAGCCACTACAACATCAACCTCGACAAGGTCCAGAAGCTGGCTAGCCCATTCGCGAAGGGCCCCGCGACAACCGTCCCTGTCTTTGGCACTCCAGCAGGTAAGGGCAAGGACCGCGCTGGCAGCACTGATAAGGTCAGTCCGTCCGACCTAGTCGCTCTGTACTCTCTGTCCGAGTCATCGATGAAGCAGGAGTTCGGAGGCGTCCTCATCTCGTACTATGAGCCCACCCCCTCGTCCGAAGCAGAGAGCGGCAAGCAGGCATCTACAGAGGCACCCGCGCCCACCACGCCGACTCCCGTACGGAGGACGTCCAGCATGGGACCCAACCGAACACCGAGACAGCCCCAGCCTGCACCCGCTACCGATTCGCCGAGCACACCTGCCTTCACTCCCGGACAACCCAGTAATACAACGAACGGGCCCAAGACTTTCCAGCTGTCAGCGGACAAGGTACACAAGACCGACATACACGACCTCATAAAGGAAGGACTCGCAAGTCTACCGGAGACGGTGCACTACGAATTCCTGCACAAGCTCCGCATCGCGAAGATGTTCAACGAGGGACGCACAGGGCGCGACAGTGCAGTTGCCATCCGTCTACTGTCCATTGCGAACATCGGTTACGTACACGTCGAAAAGGAGTTCATGGCCAAGCTGGGTCAGCAAGATGCAGACGAACCACGCCGGTTGCAACTTGCCTACCAACTCTCTGAGCTCGTCCATCCGCCTGGAAACGGCGAGACTGGCATTTCGATGGAGCTGCAGACATATACCATGAGCGCGCTCGAGGCTCTTGCAAAGCACAAGTCTAAAGCGGCTGATGTTTGCACCGCTCTTAGTGTCAACGTCAATCACGGTGTGTTGTTCTACGTTGTGCGCAAGCTGGTCGCTGGCCTTGGCGAGGAAACTGGTAACCCGGATGATATCGAGGAGGACGAGTGGCGCGACGCTTTGTTCTCTCTGCTGAACACTCTGCCGACGTCTCAAACACGCACTGGTGAGCAGATGGTGGCTGCTGGGCTCCTGGAAATTCTTGTCGATGTCCTCAAGCTGCGTACAGCAAAGGCAGAGCGCAACCACCCCAAGATTCTCAACTTCCTTGATACCTTTGTGTACAACCTGCGAGACGCCTTCTCAGCCCTCGTGGCCGCGAAGGGGCTCGAAATCATTGCTGATCTGATGCAATACGAGGTCGACACCTCCAAGAAGCTCGCAGAGGAGGACAAGGGCATGCCCAAGGAGTACAAGACTCAGCTTACTGATTATCAAATTCCGTTCTATCACCAGCAGAGTCTACGCTGGCTTTTCAAGTTCCTCAACCACATGATGTCGCATACAGGCGGAAACTTCGATCGTTTGATGCGAAACTTGCTTGACTCACAACAGCTGCTCAGCAGCTTGCGCACTGTGCTATCAAACGCCAAGACGTTCGGCTCAACTGTTTGGAGCATGGCTGTCACGATCCTTACCAGCTTCATCAACAATGAACCCACTAGCTACCAAGTCATCGCCGAGGCAGGTCTGAGCGATGCGTTCTTGGAGACAGTCGCGGGAGAGCCTGCTTCAGAATCGACGGCTGCAGCCAACAATGACCCCAGTGCTTCAACACCAACGACATACGCTCCTAGGGAGGGCGGAAAGCCACTTGCCGAGGGTATCTTGCCTGTAGCTGAAGCCATCTCGACCCTGCCCCCGGCTTTCGACGGTATCTGCTTGGCTGAAGCTGGTATGAAGCTGTTCCAGTCATCGACCGCCCTCCAGCGATTCTTCGAGATCTTCGAGAGCCCTGCTCACATCAAAGCTCTTGACGCTGATACGGAGATGCCTACCCTGATCGGAAACTCTTTCGATGAGCTAGTGCGCCATCACCCGCCTCTCAAGGCACGCGTTCTTGCCTGTCTAAGCGAGCTGATCGCGCGTGTGGTCCAACTTTGCGCCGACAAGGCCGAGAAGGAAGGTGTAGGAGCCAAGCTTTGGACTGAGGATGCTGCTGGAAAGCTCACCGTGGCAGGCGGCCGCCAAGCGCTTTCTGCATCAGGCTCGCAGCAAAGTACAGCTCAAGCATCAGGGACCACAAGCACTGATGTGGAGATGAAAGATGCTGATGAGACTGCTAATGAACCAGTCGATTACAGTCAAATCACCGAGACTGAGGACAGCACCAAGGGCCCTACCACCGGTCAGTACATCCGCGTACTCTGTCGTTTTCTCTCTGGGTTCTTCTCAAACCACGCCATGTGCGCTGCGTACGTCGAGCTTGATGGTGTAGATTCTATCCTTGACATTTCAAGTCTCGCTTGCTTAGACCCAAAAGCAAGCGAGTATCGCAGCATGTGCGAGCAATTTGGCCATGTCGTCCAGGTACTCGTTGAGCAGAAGCCCCATATTGCTGTGCCTTCTCTGATCAAGCGGACACAAGTGGCATTGGAGCGCCTGCAACCACTCCTCGATCACACCGGCAAGCAAGCCTTCTTCGCACCTTTCACAAGCACTGGCACTTCCCAGAGTCCAGAGCACATGCAGCAAGGTACACAATACGTCAAAGCACTAGTGTCGGCCCATACCCTCGTCGGAGCCATGACCTTGACCTTCCAGAGCCAGATGTACACCACCCGTTCCTCTCATAATGTATCCAGTCAAGTCAATCTTGCGGACATGTACGCACGTCTTGTGGACAGTCTCGGAAAGCTGCATCGAAGCTGTGTTTGGGAAGAGCTTTTGCTCCAGCGCAACATGCCCACAGAATGGGAGAAGGAGACGCGGATCACCAGTTCTGGTTTCGGCAACGATGAAGCCGACAACGTGTTCCGCCTTGGAAACAGTGCGACCGAACCACCTGCCAACGGAGACGCTGCTGCCTCTGGCTCAGCTTCTGAGATCACGGCTCCAAGCCAGAACAGTGCACAATTCAAGAACACGCAAACTCTCCGCAATTTGCTTAGTAGGATACCGATGGAAGTCGCACCGTTCTTCCAGTCGCTTGGCAAACTACTCTTATTCCGCCGCAGTCTTGAGGCTTACCAGAGGCAATGTGCAACGGTCGTGTCAGACCAGCTTGCCCAGGCAGTCATTGACCAGCTCGAGTACGAAGGTCCCAAGGAATCAGAGATCATTGAGGACCGCTATGCGTACTGGATCATCATTCTTACTTCGCTGTCACAGCTTATCGTGGAGGTAAACCTCGATCGATCGCAAGCGTTGACGCTGTTGCTTGTGTCCTTCCGCAACCTCGGTGGATTCGATGTTCTGGCGAACATCCTCAACCAGTTCTACGAATCGGCGCTTGAGATCACCCAGAAGCAGGCAGATGATACTAGTGAGGAGTCAAAGCGAGTGCTCAACCTCTCTCTCGGAGGCATCAAGATCATTCTGGCCTTCTTCTCCCAGATCATCAACTTCAAAGTCATCTCAGAGTCGCCACAGACGTCATCGATGCAAACCCGGCCGGATCGCGATCGGGAGCGGGCTGATCACTTCTTGACTGCTCAGTTTCTTGTTGAGATACGCTACGCCGTTATTGTGCC